TTGGCCTAGGGATGATGGCATGGAAACTTCAGGGATCTGAAATTTCGCGGATGCTCACTTCGCTACCCATGGGATCCAACGTGCTAGAGCTCTCACGAGTGACCACTAGAGAGAAGCAGAGCAGCTCCCCAGATGTCCTCCCTGTCCCCAAGTGGCTGTCAGAGCCATCGATGGATTCCTCCTTACCCTGGGGCTCGGCCTCCAGACTGCCAGCATGAGTCCCTTGCAGGCAGACAGAGGACCTGTTCCAGCTGAGTGATGCTCTCACAGAATGGCCACTTGCAAAGCCATGAATCCAGAGTCAGGAAAAGAAGAAAAACCACTGTGACACAGCACCCATCACTGCCCTGCAGACTGTCCCCGTCAGACAGTGGAAAGGCCGTGAATGCCGACCCAGCATCCGCCAGAACAAAGCAGAACTACTGTGGTAAGCTACCTCTTCCTGTGGAAAGCTGCTGGTCTGCCCTGCCCTAGTCATTTCCCCTTCAGGAAGGTCTGAGTACACCCAGCATTTGGGAGCCAGAAAGTGGGGGACAGCCCTCTCCTCCAGGTTCAAGAAAGCCCTCTATGACTGGAAAGTGCTGCACCCTAGAGTTCCCCTCTTAGCACCCAAGGTGAGACATCTGCACTCTCCCAAGGTCCTGGGCCCTACATGACTGCTTTGTCTTTATAATAGTCCCTAAACGGGGGCAGAAAAGCACTGCTAGTACCAGAGGGACTGGATAGCCCATGTAAAGGGGAGCTGAGCTCAGACGTGAGACTTGGTGCTGGCTGCCTCTCTGCTATGTGACAGAGCCATGGGCTGTTACTGCAGAGTTTCTCACCTATGGGAAGTTCAGATGGGCTGGGGCAGAATGGAATATGTCTTTACTTGATTGCACCTGTTAAGTATTGAGCTTTGAGCATAAAACACAGCTCTGGCTTATGCAGGTTCTTCTCATTTCAGAGAATTCCCCCATGATGCTTTCTGTTGGCAGGAAGTGTGCTTGGCTTTAGATTACGAACACTAGGATTTCAAGGGATCTGAGGAGGTGACATACCAAGAGACTGCAGGAGCAGGGGTAGTTTAAAATCAGGTAGATATAGCCCTCTGCATCCATCTTCAATAGAGGACACAACTCAAGCTGAGTATGGTGGCTTATTCTTATGCTTCTTTGTCAGGGGGTTGGCAGGAGATTGCCTTGAGTTAGAAGGCAGCCTAAGTCACTGAGTGAGACAGTCTAACAAGAAGCCATGGCTCTTCCTCAAGAGGATGTGGTAGCACCCTTTGTCGGTGTCACAAATTGTAACTCCCAGAAAAAGGAAAATTGATTCTCTTCAATGAAGTGACACTGGGTATATCAATCACACCCCAGGGCAGGCCTCATGCTCAGGAGTATTGGCTAACAAGTCCAACTTCATGTCATTGTTAAGACATAAAAAAAAGCAAGTAAACAAACAAACAAAAAACCACCCCATGAGGTTCTGAGAGGAGGAAGGTGGGGAGGATTTATGAGAAAATGTGACCAAAATATATTATATGAAATTGCCCAAGAATAAATTTTCAAAAGAAAAGAAAATGCTTGTTCTCTTTGTGGTATAACTTTGTCCCCATTTATAAGCTACCAGGTGTATTCACCATTTTAAGGTAAGAATGACCCACAGGGATGATGAAAATGTCTAAAGGAAGCTTTAGTTAGACAAATTTTATTTTTTATCTCAGAATGCATACAGTTAAAGATGAGACTCGTCACCTCCGAGCCTTTGCAAAGGTGATGCCTTGTTTCCCGTACTGCGAGCTCTGAGCAGAGTTCTAAGTATTCAACATTTAAAATATTTCCTTTCTAGTTAAAACATCTAAGACCAGGGCTATCTGCTCTCCTGGTACCCACCAGCCATCTTTCTGTAGACCAGCAGGTAGATCAGGAAGGCCACACCCAGGAAGATAGTCAGGCCCCTCCAGCCCTTCCTGTAGGATTTCTGCCATTCCCAAAGCCCAGTTAGCAGCCTGGTGTGCAGGGGCCTCTGCATGCGTCTTGCCACCATCTCTGCCACCTTGGTGAGTTGGTCCTGGGGGTCAGTGCCCCGCAGAGTCTTCACCAGATCATACACTTCATTGGAGTAGTACGTGCCACCGTGCTCCCTCACCAGGCACGCGACCAGACCCAGCAGCTGCTCAGCTTGTGCCTGGCACTCCTGTCCCGTGGTGCGGTTGTTCAGGGCACACACGCGGCACCCGCACTGGGCCACGAGCTCCCTCAGTGGGCGGTTGTCCGTGCAGTGAACGTAATCCTGGAGAGACTCTCCATCCAGGTCCTCCTTTCTAGTGAACACCACAACTGTTCGCGCCATCACCTGCTCTCCGAACACCCGCTTCACCCCAGCCAGCGCCTGGCAGTCCTCAGTGGTGAAGCGACCCAGCTGGGTGACCAGCAGCAGCGCATGAGGCCCGGGCGAAGACAGTAGGAAGCAGCGGGCTGTCTCCAAGAATGCAGGGTCGGTCTTCAGACCCTCAGAGCTGAAGACATCTGGAGTGTCCACCACCTCCACAAACCAGCCGGCCCACCTCCTGTTTCCCCGGGAGCAGGCTCTGGTGACAGGCACAGCCCCCAGCTTGGACAGGAAGCACTTCTGGCCCAGGATGCTGTTACCAGTGGCACTCTTTCCGGTCCCGGTCCTACCTACCAGGATGAGCCTCAGTAGGGGCACCCTCGGGGCTGGTGAATCCTCCTCCAAGCCTGAGGATCAGATAATGGCAGCACTGAGTCAGAGTCAAGACTTCTCCCCTGGAACTCACCTGTGTTCTAGCCTTCAGCACAAAAGGGAAGGACCCACATTGCATGCTCCCCTTGGAAGCCTGATGTTCTCATGTTCTTTGGGCTCTCAGAGCTCAGGCTCCTCCCCATCTTTCCTCTCTGCATTTGGATTCTCTGCACCTGCAAGTGCTCCCACGTTTCTGACAATGTTCATTATAGTTCATGGGTCTACTAGGGTCTCTGGTCCTGCATGCACAGGCCAGCCTGATGCTGGTTTGACTCTAATGTTTCTCCCAGATGCTGACCATCGAGCACAGGGGAGCCCCTCAGTCCCAGACACGGGTTGAACCTCAGCCCACCAAATGCTTCTTGTGTAAGGGCAGGAAGTACTCAGTCTAGGACACATCTCTTCTGCAAAAGTAGAGATGATGTGGGACTTTCTCCTGGGTAGTTAGAAAGTTAGAGGAGAGTTCACCCTCTTCCCTCTTTCACCTCTCCTATCTTAAGCTGGCTCCCTAAAGAGAATGCCCAACTCTTAGATTATATTTTGTTACATTTTATTTGTGGGGGTGTCAAACCACTGTGTCCTGTGGGGGCTAACAGCTAAGTTCCAGAAGTCAGTTTCCTCCTTCCATCATGTGAGCTCAGGAGTTGGAATCAGCTCATCAGGCTTGGCTGCTTGTGTCTTTACCCACAGTCATCTCCTGTTCTAACACTGAGACCTAGTGAGTGAGGCTCACTCTAGTACTGGATTTCCCATTCTCTGTGTCATTTTTTGGAGAGCAGAGTAGGTTTAGGATGTTCCTTCATGCTGTAGGCGCCAGTGACAAGCTGGTCAAAGCTCTGAGCTCCTCTCAGCATGGGAAGGCCAGAGACAGACAAATACTGGGACTGAGGTCCTGCTGTGTCATCCCAGGGCCTTCCAGACCTGAGGAAGCTCCACCTACTTCTTACCCTTAGCTCCCACATCAGCCAGGATGCATTGAGAGAAGGGCTCTTACCACAGATGCTTTCCTCATCTCTTGCCATCTTCCTCCCTCCCATGCTTCTTAGAGGACTCTTGGTTACAACTTGCTCATACATGTGCTCATTCCTGCAAATGGGCAAAACCCAACCACAATGTCAGGCAAAGACTAAAGAGCAGGGGGCCCTGGAGTGGCAAGGTAAGGCTTTAGGGGACAGGCAAATGTCTGGAGACAAGGTGGGTGTCTTTTTTCCCACTCTAGTAAAATCTGCTAAACCTTAGAGATGGCTTCTGGATTTTGAAAAATAATGTCCGGGGGGACCAGAAAAATTGTTGCAGTGCTATCTTGACACCCCGAGCTTGTTCTTGACCCCTGTATACGTAGATGGAGAGAATCGGCTTCACAAAGTTGTCTGATGAGTTTCTGAACCCCTCTTTTTAAGTTGTCTGATGAGTTTCTGAACCCCTCTTTTTTAGCAACTTCCCTTCTAACACTGATATTCTAACTGTAACATTATTTGATACAACCAAGTACCCTCAGGTCATGTGTACCTGATCCCAGAAGTCCCTAAGCACAAAGGCACAGTGTCCCCTCCACCTTCTGCTCCAACCTCATTTCCACCTAACAGGCAGTCTGTGACTGCCCAGATACCAGATTCAGTCTCTCCAGCCCGGTCTGGCTTTTCTCTGGCGAGAGCTTTGCTCCCACATTCTTGTCTGAGTCCTTATCTGCATTTCTCCATCATTTCAGAACCCATCTCTTTTGTCTCCTCTATGGGTGACCTGTTTCCTCCTGCACTCCCTGCTGTGGGCACCGCACACAGAGAAAAGGAAAAATTTAACTCTGTCTCCAAAGAGGGGCTTTGGGAACAGGTTGAGTAAACCTTCCTGCCCTCTCTCCAAAGCCTTTAGTAGAACTCACTGTGTGGTTCTGTGTCACTGTTCTGGGTGCAGAAATCAGCGAGCTGCCATAAATGATGCAGAAATGAAGAGACAGCCATAAGACTGAGAGCAACGAACAAGACCTCTGCAGGGGCTTGAAGATCTTGTCCTGGAGGAAAATGAGGGCGTGTGGGCAGGTCACTAGGACTCCCCAGAATTCAGAGTGGAAGCTGATATTATTTTCAATGGTTTTAAATAGAAAAATAAAATTTTGAGGAAAATCCTGGATGACAAATGGTTTTTTTATTATCTGAGAATATAAAGCATGACAATTCTATATGCTCAAGAGAGCTCAGCAGTCATCCAACTCTTTGCCTCCAGGCTTGATGTTAAAGTGTCCCCTCAGTATCACATTTCTTAGACCTATCCTCAGTGGTTCTGAGACAAGTAGGACAAGTCTCTTGAGGCCAATCCACCCTCAGCATTTGAAAATGAGCTATTTCTCAAGCTCTTCGTTGCAGACATGAAGAAACCGTGAGGTCCCTGTAGTTGGAGTGGGACAAACTTGAATTATGAAGCGAAGATTTAACTGATAGGTGGGGACTGGGCTTGATGACCAAGTTCCACTCCCCTGAGGTTTGCCAGAGGCTCCTCTTCACACACAGGTAATGAGAAGGGGCTTCAGAGGGGAGCAGACTTGGTACAATGAGACTGACCTTAAAAGAATGGTGTGTAGGAATACAGAAGTATCTTTTGTGTTTTCTGAGTGTTCAATTTGAAGAATGGTGTCTTCTAAACTGTGCTTCGTTCCTGGAAGGGGATCTAGGATAGATTCCTCTTACCGTACAAAAGTAGTGTGAGAAGAGACGAGTTGTGTTCATCAAGAATATGTGTACCCCTAAAACATCCTCTGAACTTGCTCAAGTTGAAATCCAGACCATCGCTCGAGCATCTGGAAGCCTGCTCTTGTTTGTACTACATTCATGGCGTGTACTGCACAGTGCTTTACAAAAGCAGGTGTGTAGGCAGCAGACACTTTGGTCTCATAGCCAAACCCCCTCTTAACCCCAGCTCACGGTATCAGGCTCACCTTTCTTGGTTACAGACTCTGAATGGGCCCAGAGAAGCCCCGGCCTCCTGCCTTCCCTTCAGTGGTGAATGCAGAGGTCTCTGTGTGCTGAGGGTGGAACAGAGAGGAAGTCACTGGGCGGCCTGGGTCTAAGAAATCAGGAAACTGAGAGAAAGGCCGGATGATGATGACTTAAAGAGACAGAAACATTTGCCATACAGTTGTGGTCTTGGCATTTTCTCTATGAAATCAATCACAGTGACCAAGGGGTATCTGTGTCCAGCAGGGACAGTACCATCAAACACGTTGCGGTAGCCAAGGAAGGAAAGAAAGATCTAGGACCCTGAGGTCTCACTCTACCCTAGAACTGGTTACTGCTAATCTTCAGTTCTTTTTTGCTCTTTAAGGATTTCTCTTACTGTAAATTAGTCTCCAGGCTGAGACAGGAGGATGACAAATTTAAGAGCATTCTAGGGTGTTTAAGAAGACCCTGTCTTGCTGGAGGTGCCTAGCTTTAATCCCAACACTTGGGAATCAGAAGCAGGTGGATCTCTGTGAGTTCAGAACCAGCCTGATCTACAAAGGGAGTTCCAGGACAGCCAGAACTGCTACAAACAGAAACACTGTCTCAAAAAAAAAAAAACAAACAACAAAACAAAACCAAGTAAAAATCCCAAACAACAACAACAACAACAACAAACCCTGACTCTTATCTCAAATAATCTCAAATAAAGACAAAATACCAAAGGCTAAGGGTGTAACTCATTGATAATACACAAGGTCCTGAGTTCAATGCCCAGTACTGAAGTAAACAAAAAAGAAAAATTACAAGAGTAGAATAACTAATATCACTAAGGCTGATATTGGTTATTAGTGATTAATTTTTAAATCAGTGCATACATACTTCATTTATCCTATTTCACTAAATAAAGGCCTTTATCAGAGATGTGAGCTGTTTTTAAATACCTTTTAATGGTGTTTGGAGTAATCGCATGATTTTTTCTTTTAATCTATCAATATTATGAACTCTGTTGTTCCTATATACGTATGTGTATGTATATATGTGTGTGTATGTGTGTGTGTGTGCGTGTGTGTGTGTGTGTGTGTGTGTGTGTGTGTGTGTGTGTGTGTGTGTGTAGACTTTGTTCCAAGATTTCTGGACTGCTGAGGTGGAAGAGAAAGTGGTGATGAAAGGAGCCACTAGGGAGTCATCTTGAGATATTATGGCTGAGAGAGGAAAGAAAGAACAAGATTGGGCAAAGACAAGTTAGACTGAGATGAGACTCCACATGGCACCGTGCAGTTTGCACAGACCTTGAGATTGAAGAAGAGACAGCCAGACTTTATAAATCTATCAGCTGGTTATTGGATGCAAACATCCACTGGAGAAAATGCTTAACCTAGAAGCATCTCTCTTCAGCAGGCAACAACCTCTGAGCAAGGATGATAGCCAGACAGTGGGGACTGCCAGCTGCCCGGCTGGAGGGAGAGACTGTCCCTGGGCTGTTCCTATAGGTTGGGCATGCTGATATAATTTATCTTTTTCCACCCTTTGAGCCTGTCTCAGCACAGCTTTAAGAGGTTCCCAACAAGCCAGACATGTCCAACTCTAGGCAGACTGAGGCAGGAAGTTACCATGAGATTAAGGCCAGTCTAGGCAACTTAGTAAGTCCCTGTCTCGAAATAAAAACTAAAAAGGGGCCTGGAGATATAGCAAGCACAGTGGAATAATGCATATCTAATATGTGTGAGGCCCTAGGTTCAATCCTCACTAGAGAGGGTGGGAACCTCCTCAAGGAAGCTTCTTCTTGTCACACCCTCTCCACTCTTGGCCTTGTACACCAAACTTAGGAACACTGTCCCTGTGTCCTATACTCTCTAGCCATATACAAGACAGGAGTGAGGAAGAAGGAACAGACCATGGCTAAAGGAATGAGCACAGCTTACTGAATTCACAATAATTCATTTTATTCTTGTGGTTTAAAGCAATTCTGGGAAGTGATTCAGACCACAGACATATTAAGACATTATTGACAACTGTCTTGTGGTTTCTTGCACAATCCTTGTTTATAAAGAATTTCTGCTTAGCCAGGGCTCATGATGTTATGGTGTTTTGCAATGTGGCTGGGATGATAGGGAGGCTGTGCTGTACATTTTAGTTCATATGATTAAATATTGTATTCATGTGGTCTGTAGCTACCATTTGAGTAGCAGTAATCATATTTATTTTTCAGTCCTGGGCCTAGCACATGCATGCTAGGGAAGTGATGCAGCATTAAAATGTATCTCTGGCCCTCTTTTATACCTCTCTTTATAAGAGATAGACCGCTCACTAAGTTGCCCAAGGTAGCCTTGAACTTGCTCTGTAGCTTACTGCCTCAGCCTCCCCAGGTAACTGGTATTACAGGCCTGCATCACCAGGCTTGATTAAGGCAAACTTTTTAGCAAGATTATACAAGATACTGTATGTGGTGAGGGAAGAGACACAGGTGAAGATCTGATAAAAACTGCAAAGCAAAAATAACAAATGGATTTAGCATTTTTAAAAATCCCAAACTGTTGTGGAGAGGCGCATTCCTGGCAAGTTTTACTTTGCTCTCTTGTAAGCTTAATTAGCCTGCTGTTCTTTTGGGGGAGTTTCAGATTCATCATACCTTGGATGATTCTGAGTTAAGAGGATATTTAATCCAAACATACCCCACAAAACGTCTGAAGTCTCATAATTAGAACATTTGCTATACATTTCCTGCCTTCAGTTCTCCAACCCCCACCCATTATTTCAGATGAAATGCCACAGAATATGGCTGTGTTCTCCGGGGCGGCTGTCTCTGTGATCAGGGGAGAATGCCACAGAATTAACACAGTCATCCCCTTGCTTCTTTCTGCTAAGAGGCTACTTCATGTCGATTTTGACTACATTTTCTTTGAATCCTGAGATTTTGCACATTGGGAAGTAAAATGGTCTTTTCTATGAACGGATGGGGACCGCTTACTGCTGGCTGTCAAAATTTCAGAGAAGAGACAGGCTGCGAGGCCAAACACCCACAGAGGCCATTGTGAGAACGCAGTGACATTACTGAGAGTTGGGTGCTGCTAGCACAGGAAGCACAAACATGTGTCTCTCGTGAGTTTCCCGTCTGTGATGTCAGCTGCAAGTCACTGTCTTTTCCTGAAGGTCAAGGGTCATGATGTAAAGACAGCAGCCGCTTCCTTGGATCATCAGTTCATGGACAAAGCTTCAGGAGGGATAGCACCATGTCCTGCTTCAATGTGGCATCCTCACACTCCACAGACAGCCATCTCCTTCTTCTCAAGTCAAACCTCTTCCAAATACATGCTAAGGAAGTAGATGAACACATATTAAATGGTCCTTTTACATGTGTGAATTAGGGGCTGGGGAGATGGTTCATCAATTAAGGGCACTTGTTACTCTTGCAGTGGAGATGGTTCAGTTCCCACGTGACGGCTCATGACCATTCATAACTGACTACTCAAACCTGCGGTTCCAGGGCCTCTGATGCCCTCTTACGAACTCCACCCTCTCCTGACCTCTATGCTCTTCTGACCTCCATGGGTATCAGACATGCATGTGGAACACACGTATATATGCAGGCAAAACACTCACACATAAAGAAGTCTTTATCTGTGAATTAATGTGATGCCATTCTTCATATGAACCCACTCTTGTATTGTCTATTTTCCAGATGTTTGCAGAGGTGTAGTAAAAAAAATGAAGGCATTCAAGCCATCACCCTCTTCAGGCAAACTTACAAAGTTAGTGCTCATCCAATGGAGATACGTGGTAAACTGTAACACTGGCATTTAATTTCCTTATACTTTATAGAAACCCATGATATATTTATTGTTAGAGTTGTTTGAGATTGGCTTAGAGATGTTTGGATGAAATTATTATTTGCTCATCATTTTATCTTTACCAATATAACAGGTGAATTTTTCATTGTGATTTTCATACAAATTGCTCAATGTGGAAGTAGTTGAATCATTTTAATATGCTAAGAACAATGTCTATCGATATCCATCTCATGCATTTACTGACGGTTTCTCAGTTCTGCCCTTGGTTATTTTGATGTTGATTTGCAGTGTTACGCTTTTATTGGCTCAAGTGATGGACAGCTTGTCTTGTCCTCTTGAATTTAGAAAATAAACTTCTAGATTCTTCCACTGTTTGTTTATTACATCTAATATCTAGAAGAATGTTAATAGTGACAGTGACCTGCCTATTGTCTTCCTGGTGTCCATGGCATGACATCGGTGTTTCTTATTAAACAATATAGTGACTATGGAAGCCAGGTTGTGGTGGCATAAGCCTTTAATCCCAGCACTTGGGAGGCAGAGGCTGGTGAATCTCTGTGAGTTCAAGACCAGACTGGTCTATAAGAGCTGGTTCCAGGACAGGCACCAAAGCTGCACAGAGAAACCCTGTCTCAAAAACAATAACAATGAAAAGATAGCAAGTAGCAAGTGTGGTTTGGATGGAAAACTTTGCTACAGGTATGAGGGTAACCATTTATCAATTAATTATCTTTAATTACCATTCAGTAGCTAAGGAGGTGATCAATGTGCACTGTTTCACAGCTTGGTAATGTTTTAAGTTATATGGAAATATTTTCAAATATCAAATATTGTTTGATCCCCATAGGACACGTCTCAGTCATTTAAGGCACTGCTAGATTCTGTTGATTGGCTAGTTTTTAACTTGTTTAGTTTTTGGCATTGATACTAATAAATGATCTTGTCCACTTCTAGTATAGAGCAATTCTCTATTTTTTAAAAATTCAGTTTATTATTGTTAGGACTATGGTGGTTTGCCTGTCTGTATATCTGTGCTCCACAGGCATACAATACCCATGAGGCCAGAAAAGGGCATCAGGTCCTCAGAACAGAAATGTCATCTCACTTCCAAATATCTCAACTGTGGTACTTTCCTGACTATTCTTCCATGCTGGAGGGTTCTTCTGCTATCTTTTCAGAAAGACTTT